CCCCGACCTTCCCAGATTTGCCACACTGTGATCTAACACAGGTCCTCTTCTGAGTTAAATGTTACCCATCGTCATCCTACACATTTCTTGTGAGCCCAGGCAATCATAGGCACACCTACTGGGGGTTCACCATCGCGCCAGCTTGGGCTCATTAAACTCCTAGACAGAACCATGTGAATGCCACACTGTCCACGATGCACGATGGAGGACCATCTCAGTGCCGCCAACAGAGCAGAAGAGGAAGGACAAATTACACCATGATGCTATGTGTTGTCACAAGCGGCTTAGTTGAAACTGGTCCCAAGAAAGATCATATATGAGAAGCTTCACTCACAGAATAACCGGGAGTCTTAAATTGGCCATAGACACCAGAATTTCAGCACCCCTCCATTCATCAATTTTTCAATCAATTTTTATCGAAGGAGTCGGCACATAAATTATTGGACAATCAGCTGCAGTCGCTGCTTAGGTATTCTGACAGCACAGCAGCACCCCAACCACTGCCAGAATACAATAACCCGGCAGGGGGGGGGGGAATTCCCCCATTTCAACAGTATGAATGGGGGAATCAAGCTATTTTTCCTATTCAGCTTACTGGGGTTAAATGAGAAAAATTATAAGTGCATGGCCAACTTTACTGGTTTATATAGATAACATCTTGCTATACCAGCATATAGATGAATCTATCTCTTTGTCTGTCTACTCTCTCTCTCTCTCTCTCTCTCTCTCTTTAGCTCTCTCTCACTCTATCCATGCTGTACCCATCCCTTCCCTAATAACATGATATTTAATAATTCATATAAGTCACTGGCTAGCACTGTCTGTTGGCCATGGTGCTGTAATCAGAGGGGAGGATCTCATAGGTTTCTGCCTGTCATACTTGCAGTATAAATACAGCGGTTGTACAGCAGTGATGACAGTGACAGAAGAGACTGGCCTGGTCAGGTGAGTTACACATTGCATTACGCTAAACAAGTTATTAGTAATTGCTGAGATGGCTTAAACCTGCAAGGTGAACTTACAGCTAACTGAACTATATGATATTAGATAACCTATAAGTAAAGTTGTAAGTTGCATGTAAGATTTTTAAAGTCTATATAAACTGTAAGAATTAATTTCTCCTATTTTCTCCCTTTTGGTTTGTTAAATATATATAATTGAAAGAGTTTTGTTATATTTGATCAATAAGTGCAAAAAAGACCTATTGATCCCTCCAGAAATATAGTGAGCTTATAACTTCTGTGCTTGCTGCCTCTGCTGACTGTTATCGGTTGGCATTGTTCCCTATTCCACACCACCTCATTCCATATCCCATGCTGTACATTCCCTATTCTGCTCTAGCTCCTTCCATATCCCATGCTGTACATTGCCTATTCTGCTCTAGCTCCTTCCATAAGCCATGCTGTACATTCCCTATACTGCTGCAGCTCCTTCCATATCCCATGCTGTACATTCCCTATTCTGCTCCAGCCTCTTCCATATGTCATGCTGTACATTCCCTATACTGCTCCAGCTCTTTCCATATGTCATGCTGTACATTCCCTATACTGCTCCAGCTCCTTCCATATGCAATGCTGTACATTCCCTATACTGCTCCAGCTCTTTCCATATGTCATGCTGTACATTCCCTATAATGCTCCAGCTCCTTCCAAATGCCATGCTGTATATTCCCTATTCTGCTCCAGCTCATTCCATATGCGACGCTGTACATTCCCTATAATGCTCCAGCTCCTTCCAAATGCCATGCTGTATATTCCTATACTGGTCCAGCTCCTGCTGCATATTCCCAATTTTAAATCGCATTATTCTATACACCACGTTGTACATGTTATATACCATGCCGCCTCATTCTGTACATTGTACCGTACATTCCTTATTCTGCACCAACCTTACTGCTCCAGCAGCACTAGTGCATATGTGTGTGCCTGGGTGTGCCAAAACTGGGGTATCAGATGTTTGGACAGAGGTACAATTTCAGTGCTTGCCATAGGCGCCATTTACCATAGATGAACCCTCTGCTCTCAGGCGCCATCGCTTCGCTGGAATTGCGGCCTGCCCAACGGGAGACAGTGGCAGTGAGGGACCTAGATGGGATGGGTTAGAGGTGGGTGTGAGGAAGGGATGGAGAGAAAAATACTTTTCTACAGGAATTGGACTTTAGGAAAGGGGCCAGACCTGACTTCCTACCCTTCTCTTCTTTAGCAATTCCTTCTCTCCTACACTGCAGACTCCTTTCAACACACAAAAAAACCTCAAAAGAAATCGGTAGAAAACAAAATTGGAGATGTAACTGAACCTACATGCAATTTATTTCATGTACAATATCTGGCAAACAAAAAAAATTAAAATAATTATACCCCCCAGGTGTCGCCACAGTGACCAGCATGAATTCAGCACCCAAGCCTCGGAAGGCATTTATTGTCCTGAGAGAGTTTACGACTGGCAGGCACAAAGTGGCCCCGGGGTCCGTAGGTGTCTTCCTAGACAGCGAGCAAACTCGTGGGCGTATCCTGGATCTTCCATCCCGCCCAGAAGTATCTCTTAGGAGGAATGCTGTGCATGTTCTGGGAAATCCATATCCCATGCTGTACATTCCCTATTCTGCTCTAGCTCCTTCCATATCCCATGCTGTACATTGCCTATTCTGCTCTAGCTCCTTCCATAAGCCATGCTGTACATTCCCTATACTGCTGCAGCTCCTTCCATATCCCATGCTGTACATTCCCTATTCTGCTCCAGCCTCTTCCATATGTCATGCTGTACATTCCCTATACTGCTCCAGCTCCTTCCATATGCAATGCTGTACATTCCCTATACTGCTCCAGCTCTTTCCATATGTCATGCTGTACATTCCCTATAATGCTCCAGCTCCTTCCAAATGCCATGCTGTATATTCCCTATTCTGCTCCAGCTCATTCCATATGCGACGCTGTACATTCCCTATAATGCTCCAGCTCCTTCCAAATGCCATGCTGTATATTCCTATACTGGTCCAGCTCCTGCTGCATATTCCCAATTTTAAATCGCATTATTCTATACACCACGTTGTACATGTTATATACCATGCCGCCTCATTCTGTACATTGTACCGTACATTCCTTATTCTGCACCAACCTTACTGCTCCAGCAGCACTAGTGCATATGTGTGTGCCTGGGTGTGCCAAAACTGGGGTATCAGATGTTTGGACAGAGGTACAATTTCAGTGCTTGCCATAGGCGCCATTTACCATAGATGAACCCTCTGCTCTCAGGCGCCATCGCTTCGCTGGAATTGCGGCCTGCCCAACGGGAGACAGTGGCAGTGAGGGACCTAGATGGGATGGGTTAGAGGTGGGTGTGAGGAAGGGATGGAGAGAAAAATACTTTTCTACAGGAATTGGACTTTAGGAAAGGGGCCAGACCTGACTTCCTACCCTTCTCTTCTTTAGCAATTCCTTCTCTCCTACACTGCAGACTCCTTTCAACACACAAAAAAACCTCAAAAGAAATCGGTAGAAAACAAAATTGGAGATGTAACTGAACCTACATGCAATTTATTTCATGTACAATATCTGGCAAACAAAAAAAATTAAAATAATTATACCCCCCAGGTGTCGCCACAGTGACCAGCATGAATTCAGCACCCAAGCCTCGGAAGGCATTTATTGTCCTGAGAGAGTTTACGACTGGCAGGCACAAAGTGGCCCCGGGGTCCGTAGGTGTCTTCCTAGACAGCGAGCAAACTCGTGGGCGTATCCTGGATCTTCCATCCCGCCCAGAAGTATCTCTTAGGAGGAATGCTGTGCATGTTCTGGGAAGGAGAGACTGCGCCTTCTTGTACGGGATTGGGTCACTACCAAGACGGCTTCATCTCCTTTCCAACGAGAAGTTATTTGCTGCCGTCGGCGGATTACAAATTAGTGACGTTGTCAAAGTCAGGTACCAAGGTTATGCCGCAGTGGGTGTGGCCATCGCTATCTGGGAACTTTCAGCTAAATCGGGACTCTGTGAACTTACCAAGTTGTTGATAGAAGTGCAGTTACTGGTAAGTACATTGTATATGCATAAATATCAAGTAATTAAATTGCAATGACTATAATTTAAATTACAGTATGTGCTACATTGAGGGGAAATGATCAAAACCGGAGCAGACAGAATCTGGACCAGATAGTAGCCAAACAGCTTCTCTCTTCAGTCTGTTCAGTTAAGCTTTGAAAATGAATGATAGATGCTTATTGGTGGCCATAGGCAACTGCTCCAGATTCTATCTTCTCCAGTTTTTTTTTATGAATTCCCTCTACTATGCTTTACAATGTATATGACCACTGTATTACAGTCACCTACATACATCCCAAAATGTAACTATACAGAATTTGGACCATGTCATGTCACTCTCCCAGTCCTCTCAAACACAGCACCTAAAATTAATCAAGAGTGTCGTAGATGCTTATAAGAAATCTAACAAATGTCGCAACAAGCAACAGATTTCTGAACCTGTTGGAAACATGCATTTATCACTTGGAGATGTGTTGGGGGCGGCACTGAAGTCAGAGTGTTCATATTGGACACTGTATTATCAGTGCCTGTTTGGGCTGCACAGAATTGTTGCTTGCTAGGACACTGCCAGGTGCATAGCATCATTTGTTGCCTTGATGCGGTTGGCTATGCAGCTGACAGCATCCTGGCAACTGATGATGCTGTGCAGCTGACAGCATGCTATCAACCATTGATGCTGTGAAAGAGATAGAATCCTAGCAACTGATGATGCTGTGCAGCCGACAGCATCCTAGCAACCGTCAACACTGACCCCAGAAAGTACACCCCAACGCACCTCCTGGCAGCCGTGTGCATGTTATTGCAATACCTTGCGTTGCGGTGTTATGGAAAAAAGTAGTGCATCAACTTTGTGTGCACCAAATGCATTTGACAGCCAAGATATTAACTTGTAAAACTAGCACTGACATCACTGTGCCTTACATAGCTTGTGCAGAGAGCAGAGCTGTGGGAGGGACCCAGGAGGCGCCGCCCACTGCAGGCTGCCTGCAGAAAACCACGGTTGGGAAGGAGACAAGGCCAGTCACCCTGCACAAGGACAGAGAGCAGCAGTGACCGGTCTTTATTACAGGAAGCTCCTGCACAGAGGCAACATTTCACCCTGGATTACTGCACATATCTGGAAGAAATACACAAAGCTCACCAAGATTCCAGTAATAGTACACAGGCTTCTTGTTTTTAGATAATATTTGCTTATACCGGAGTTTAGCTTTAAACTTCAGGATCACCTACTGGCTACTCTTCAGAAAATGAAAAACGTTGTTTTAAATGTGTAATATAACATCCCTGCTGAATATTACAACAAAACCAAACATTGAAGGAGATGTCTGATCCAGAAATGTTAAATGTTGTTACTACTACTATATATTATATATTTATTTTTAACCTTAGTTTTGTTGTATAAATATTTTAAATATTGTCAGCAACTTGATATGCATGACGTTACGGAAAGGTTTAAAGAAAACATTACTAAACCAGGATGCAAAAATTATACAAATGCCTTCCTCTTCAATTTTCAATAGTCCTGTTTAAAGCCTAAACAGAAATATATATGCAGTAAAATTGACTTTGTACTAAAAACCTCCCTATATGTTCCCCTATACAGATCTTTAGTTATCACTAGAGGGATCACCAGGAGGAGGAAAGAGGTCCTGATTCCCTTATATAGATCTTTAGTTATTAATAGAGGGGTCATCAGCAGGAAGAAGGCCCTTATTCCACTATATAGATCTTTAGTTATTAATAGAGGGATCCCCAGCAGCAAGAAGGAGATCCTGATTCCCCTATATAGATCTGTAGTTATGACTGGAGGGTTCACCAGCAGTAGGAAGGAGATCCTGATTTCACTATATAGATCTTTAGTTTTCACTAGAGGGATCACCAGCAGGAGGAAGAAGGTCTAGACTCCCCTATATAGATCTTTATGTATCACTAGAGGGATCACCAGCAGGAGCAAGGAAGTCTTGATTCCTGTAAATAGATCTTTGGTTAGACCTCATTTAGAATTCTGTGTCAATTTCAGGAGACCTTACTTACAAGTCCAGAAATGGGCAACATAATTGGTTAAAAGTGTGAAGGATAATACATATGAAAACTATCCTTAGAAAGTATTATTTTACTGAAAGAATAGTCGATACTTAAAATAGACTTCCAGCAGAGGAAATAAGTCAGTTAACAGTGAGTGAATTTAAACATGCTTGGGACAAGCATAGATCTATACAAACAGGTTAAAAAAGAAAAAAGCACAAACTGGATAGACCACTTGGTCTTTTTCTGCCGTAACTCTTCTAAGTTTCTTTGAATCCTCCCAGTGAGGGTACAAACAGGAATTCAAACCCTTCCTCACTATATCAGAACTAGAAAAAAAGTTTTCAGTGAGGTTCTATTTTACTTTATTTACAGATTGGATTTAAAAGTTGCTAAATTTTCTATGTTGCTATGCTTTATTGTATAAACCAAGATACACATTATTATGTTGCAGGATGGGGAATGCAATAGTAACGTCACACCATTGATAAAGATTGATGCTGGTGATGTTCTGGCAGTCAGCTCTAGCGTACAGCGTCATCCACAATGTAGAGACTTCGGACACAGGCTGGATGAGAAAGGTGAGGTTTCAAGACTGCATGAAATTTAAGTTGGCCATAAAGAGGTTTACTGGGTTAATTGACCTCTCCAGCCAGGAAAAGAGAAAAATAATACATGACTCGAGGCATACCTGTAAAAAATAAATCAAGGCAACTGGACTTGCTGTATTTTTCTTGAAGGCGTTTCGCTGGTCATTCGACTAGCTTTCTCAATTCAGAATGACTTGTACAAAAATTATCTGGGAATAAATATAGTGAATGTTGCTCCAATCAACATAATCTGTTTATTATAACCAGAATGGGGTCCGAGACCTCAATTCAGATCATACCATATAATCCTACCAGGCTCTACCTACAACAAAAGCATCACTTTTTTGGTGGACTGATCAAAATGCACCCCTTGTCTCCCCTTTATGGATTGATCTACTTGTTCGGTTACCCCTTTCTTACAAAAGGCAGACTAGTAGATCATCTTTATATTCCAAAGTCTAGTGCAGGGGTAGGTAACTTCAGCACTCCAGCTGTCGTGAAACTAAAAATTCCATTATGCCTCTGGGAGTGATGCCTGTGGTTGTCAGAGTCTTGCAGTGCCTCATAGGATGTGTAGTTCCACAACAGCTAAAGTGCCAAGGTTGTCCACCCAGTGGTGTCCCTAGCCTTTTTGCCACCAGTGGGGGGCGGAGATATATGCAATCAGAGCATTGGGATGTGGGTAGAGGAGACAGTGCTTCCAGACCCGAGAGGGATGCCACCCTCTTGCTCTGCATCTCCCATCCAACTCTTAGCAAACTGTGATGCTCTGGCTGGTGTTCCGCTCAACTCTCACCAACCAGTAACATCACTGGTTGCCAGAAGCTGGGCGGGATGGCAGCCAGAGCTTCCCAGGTTGCTAAGAGTTGGGTGAGGAAATGTGTGTGGCCCTTACACATCTCCCCACCCACATCTTAGCGACCTGGGATGCTCTGGCCGGAAAGGAGGCAGCATTGTGCAGCACACCAGAGATGATGCTTAAGGCAACAGCCTCAGACTGACTACCCCCGGTATTATTTTTCAGTGTCTGAAAAATAAATATTCCCAACATCCTAAAACCAATGTTGTAAAAAAAAAAAAGGATATACAGATATATAGTGAATGGTATATCCGTTATTGGCTGAAACGTCGGTTATTTTGGAAACCGCTGGAGATTCCTGAACTGAAGAAGAATATGTTCCTGTTCTTTTGTACAGCAATTTGCATGATGTAACTACACAAAATATACGTCGGTGTAAGCGATCCCAGAATCCCATCTATGTCACATCATGTCACTGTCATTCCATGGAACAGGTATTTCACTCCCTGAGAAAGCTGTACACGTGCTGAGGTATAATTAGCCTCTAATTGCCTATTTACATCACTGTAAGCTGCAAGGCGTTTAGAACTGTTATTACTTTTTAAATAGCCTAAACCATAATTCCTTTTTTTTGCATACATCTGTCATTCCAGAACTAGAAATTATTTTGTTCTAATTGTTATTTCGATTTTGTACTCCGGCTGTGTCCAATAAAGCCAGTAATGGGTGACTGTTTTTAAATTTTGAACCTATGGCATGCACTGAATTTAAAGCAGAACTCTGGTTGAAAATGGTGCTCCCCTTCCCCTTTGCACTTTTTTTTAAATTAAAGGAGTTCCAAAGCAGGTATTGACATCATTTTGGCTTATCTTTTACACCAGTGGTTCTCAACCTGTGTCAGAACCCACATTTGTCCTTGGTCATTAAGTCGCGACCCAAGTTGCACTGCATAGGAATGCGCGGCATTGCAGTACCGGGCATTTGGGTGCAGGTGATCGGACTGGGTGGGAGGTTCGTTTGGGGTGTCATTCAAATTAATAGCAATGCAATACACTTTCCACACCGGAGGAACACACAATAGGTGCGATTGCGTGGTACAGTTCAATAATCCCATGGGACTGTGTGATTAACGCACTTTACTAGTACAAGGGGCGAAGGGGGTTCTTCACAGTAAGATCAGTTAGGGTCTGATCTTACAGTGATTTCAGCAAATAATGTGGAATTGTTCAAGAAACTTTTGGATGATTTCTTAAGGGACCGTAATATACAGGGGTACAGGTACTCCTAGAATTAGATCCCAATAGGTTGGACTTGATGGACTAATGTCTTTATTCAACCTCAAATACTATGTAACTATGTAACTATGACTACAGAGCAGCATTCATTTGTGTCTTTTCTAACTGCTGACAGTTTATCTTTAAATAAAAACAGGCACTTGTCTTAAAGATCTACTTCTTGTAACAAGAAGTCATCTATTCCTATATTGTTAGTAAGAAATGGCCCTTTCCTGTTGATCTTTGTGGACTAAGTCTGTTACCTTAATAGGCATCTTGCAAATAAAAATGAGCTCTTGCCATTTTGTCCCCCTATAGATATTCACAGTGTATTGGAGGACAGTTTGAAGGATCACCCCCCAATACGTGAATGTGATGTTCTAGTGAAGATAGTTGGACAGAGGAATGGGATTCAGGGACACTACAACTCCTGTTACCTGGATACCACCCTTTTCAGGTATGGTCCTCAGAATAACTCTTAGTACTTAAAATGCTCACAAACCTAAAGCTGTGTTTCCAATAATATATTTTTTTTTTTCATAGCCTGTTTGCTTTCTCCTCTGTTCTGGATCACATCCTACGCTCTCCAGATGTCTGTGATGCCAAAGTGCAACGTATCCTAAGGGAAGACATTGTGAACCCACTCAGAAGGTCAGTTTGTGTTTAGGGGTCCACAGTTTTAATTATGTGACATTTTTTCGAGGCACTATTGGGTTCTTGGGACAATTTCGGTAAGTCAAACTATAGCTTTTAATCCATTGAGATGCTTTACCATAAAACCATATTTCTTTTGTTGGTTGATCATTTTAGTCCTTTGGACAGTAATTATACAAATTCATCTTAAAGTGACACTTAACTCAGAACTAAAATCTTAAAAAAAGCACTTAAGTAATTTAACTCTTAACAAAAATGTATCCTATTTGTGTATTTCTCAGCTGTAGGTCCTCAAATCAACTCTGAATTCTGTACCTTCTGGAGGGTGGCTACTTTTGTTCCCCATGGTCCCTGTCAGGGGTGTCCCGAGACCAGGTGACATCCCGCCGTGATGTTCTCGCGCATGCACAATGACGTCATCGCGCATGCGCGGTCATCTAAGTGATGCCTGCCGGCGGCCGTCTTAGTGATGGACACCGGCAGAGAGAGGAGGGGACGTTCACCCGGCGGGATGAGGTATGCCGCCGGATCCCCTCCTCTCTCCTGACATTATAGGGCTCTCGGTCCATGAGCGAGTGCCCGACTTTTTAGAAAGGGTGACACCAAAATGACTGTCAGTCATTTTGGTATCACCCCTCCAATGGTGTCACCCGGGTGCGGGCCGCACGCCCCTTGTGACACCACTGGTCCCTGTGCATGTTGTAATGTAGCCACCGATCCAAACTCGCTCCCATGATAGACTACAACCTCAATACAATTAGTAAACTAAATGTGAGATTGTAGTCCATCACAGGAGTAAGCTTGAAGCGGTGACTACTTTACAACACACACAGGGACCATGGGGAACAAAAGTAGCCACCCCCCAGAAGGAAGGACAGTGTCAGCACCAATTCAGAGATGATTTAACTTCTGAGTTTAGTATCACTTTAAGATGTGACAAGGAACAAATATCTGCCCATTGTCACTTCAATTACTGGGGCTGTGAACTCAAACCTCAACTGAAATCATTCTAGAATTATCTTAGAATTACTCTATGAACATTAAACTGCCATATAACACATGTACATTGATAAATGCATAGCACCATGTATGACTCTCTCTGCGCTTCTCTTGCCATATGAAAAGCTTTTTGGGGGATTCTATTGCTGTCAAATTGGCTAGAAAGTGTGCTTGCCATTTGTCTTTTTTTAGTTGACTTTGGAAAGATTGGACATTTCTCTCTGTGAGATTATTGTCACTTTTCTGATAGTGTAATGAGCTTTTATATAAGCACCATTAACATGTTGGAGACTCTGACAAGTATCTTTAATGTCTCATCACCTTGTAGGACTGGATTCGTACATGCTGAAAATGTAATGAAGCTCAGAAAACTGCTGCGATGTGATTCATTTGTTACAGACGAGAAAGGTTTGTTCTGTGTTCTCTGTCATTTCTTGTTAAATATATCAAGCAGCTTATGCGCCTATTATTCTTAATCCGTACTTTTCTGATGAAGAGCAATTAACATCAAAGTTCTATTTTCAGATGCTGTTGCCCTAGGCACTAGTAATCAAAAGGAACTAATTCACATGCCTCATAAAATTGCCCTGATTGGCTCAATGTACATAACCTTCTACTCTTGGTCTTGCTGTACAGAGGAGTGTGGGATGATCCTATAAGTAGATTACAGGCACTTATATCACCAATAACTGAAATACATTCCTTGAGTTTTAATGGATATATAATTAGGGAATGCATGGCACCTTAACATTGAAATATGCCTTTCCTATACATTTGCTAACGTGCAATCTAAGACCTCTTCTTTTCTGGACATTTAAAGATCAGATTTTGGTTAGTTTTGGTTTTACCTGGCAAAGGACTGTTAGCAGAATTTTGGAATGATTTGATGAACACAATGTTCACCTTCCTAGCTGGCTATAAAATGAATTGAACATTTACCATTTTATCTTTTTATTAAAGCAGCCTCAAGGTGCAGCACTGCAAAGCAGGATGTAAATATGGCTGTCCATATATATAATTACAAATTACATACACATAAAAACAAGGTTTTCACAACATGTATGGGTAAGGCTATCTATATCATGCAAATCTTTTATATTTGTATCTAAAAAAACACAGAAGAAGCTACAATCCCTTTAAACATGCAAGCAAGTAAGCCAACTACATCCTAGCCACCTGGACCCTTAATATGACTCAACCTGGCCTCATTTGATGGGCTCTATGTCCTTTTAAGAAGCTCTACAAGAGCAGAAGCACTATTTCAAGCCCAGACCCTAGGCATATGCATATGTGGTCTTTACAGAAAACCAGTCAAGGTCTTCAATGAAATACTGAGTTCCAAAAGAAATCATGTACAACACAGTGTACAGTGTTCAACGGTCTTGTCAATATCACGTATAGCAAATTGTGCATATGCAACACTCCATGGGGACATAAGCTGTTACATTGGTGACAGTGGTGCACCAGTGAAGTGGTAGTTGGTGGAAAAGTGCAGCGGCACAGTGGAGAAGTAGGCTGTGCGAAATTTGTGCAATTTGTCAAAGTCTTTTGTAAATGTGAAGTCAGAAAATTGCTGAACCCCAGAAACACAAAGTTAGCTTAGAGTAACCACACTAAGTCATTATTAAAGGAAGCCGTGGCTGTTTTTTTATTAAAGGGTTTCTAAACCCTCTGCTTTTTTTTGCATAAATCTACTGCTAGCAAGCAGTAGATATATGCAAAAAGTTTTTAAAAAAACACGCTTAAACAGCGGTTTAAACTTACCTGTGTCTTCCCCGCACGCTCCCGTCTGAAAATGTGAAAATTCTCGGGCAGATCTTGGGGCGCGCGCATGCGCTGTTCACAATTTCGGCCAGGACTTGAGGAGGGACGCAAGGTAAGTCTATGGACGCGTGCACCCGCATGCAGACACCGTGGGATAGGAATTGCCAGCAAGCCCAGAGGAGTCAGCTCTGGATCGGACACCCGCCGCAGCGCTGGAGAGAAGGCTGAAAACATCAGGAAAGAAGAAGATCTGATTAAGAGACATCATTTAAGGTAAGTGCTTTAATTAACGTTGGGGTGAGGGGAAAACAAAGTTGCCTTTAATGTCACTTTAAGCCTTGTTCTTCGAGGACCTTAAAAATTAATTCTGCCACAATAAAATTGAGATGGTTGGATGGTGTGGGTTAGAATTTTTTACATCATAATGTTAATGTGCCACCTACTCTATTTCAGATCCTGAAGAATTCTTAAGTGCCTTATTACATGAAGTACTTGCCGTGGAACCACTACTGAAAATACGGTAGGTCTCCTGTGATTCATATTTATTCACGTGGAGTTTCGGAGAGTGAGGGTAGGTGGGGGGTGATTTTGACATGCTTGGAGTTCAGCTTGAAGTTCCCACCGTACCTTCAGGCCCCCTTCTGCCTTTACTTTTTCTCTTATAACATGCAGCCCTGCAAGTTAAGCCTGCCACCTCCCCTAATAAGGCCCATTTTAAAAGAAATAGAGATGAGTGAAGAATACCTTCTGTAGGATCTGTTGTAAAACAGTGATACATTTGCATCTCAGGACTAGGTATTGGTGTAATGTTCATGATAGAAATAAGCTGTCCATAAACAGAACAGTTCCCTTCTATAAATGTTGGGCATTGACCAGTATGGCCATACTTGTTCACTTATGCTTCTTCAGATCTCCTCACTTTCAGGTCCTTGGGTTAGTTTCCTTCTTCCAGTGTTACCATGTGGCAAGTAAACAGAGTTTACTATGGTTAGGACTTAATTACTTAACAAAAAGCACAGCCTACTATACATATCCAATAAATTTATCTGTCTGCTCCCATCTATACATACAGTATGTATAAACTATGCATAGCAGGAAGTTAAAAATTTGAGCTGATCCCATTCACATCTATTTAAAAAAAATAAAGATTTCTTTACATGGACTAAAATATCATTTGGTTCCACAATTTTCAGTTGTAATGGCAAGACCCAAGAGAGCAACAGCTATCAAATAATTGTGGAGAGAGATGGAACACTAAAAGTTCCCAGCGTCCAGACATTGATGGAAAGATCATTTCAATCGTATGAAGACCTCAAATTTGACCAGGTAAAGACGTTTAAGAAAGCATTTATTTCGGAACATTCAATAATATTACTAATGTCACGTTAACCTTTTTCCCTTCATTTTGGATGAAGTGGGAGAAGGTTTAAAACTCCTAACAAATTTTTGGAGGGGGAAGACAGTCGGCTTTACAAGTTTAAACAGAGTCCCGGCGGCTTCTGTTTAAACGGCCCCGATGCCAGTGACGTACACTGTACATCACTAGTCATGAAGGCGTTAAGATTGCCAGGTAAAAGCCAAAGTGTCTCGGGGGGTTGCAAAGATCTCCCCTCTTCAGGGCATTAAACATATAAAACCATGAATATGATTAATGTTTTATTTAAACTATGGACT